GCACACACACTCTTCATGGAACAATCCACGGGGAGCACCCCTGCACACACACACACACACACACATGCATGCACACACACACTCTTCATGGAACAATCCATGAGGAGCACCCCTGCACGCACATACACACACATGCACACACACTTCATGGCGGGGAGCATCTGGAAATCACGGTCCCCATCGGTGTCTGCAAGCGCGCGTGCGCGCGCGCACACACACACACACACACACACACACACACACACACAATCTGTGGACAGCTTAAAACGATAACCTGATAGCTCCTGAGAGGTTGTGTGCTTAACCCCACGTTGCCCTGATATAGTCTTATAGTGGATTCTCATTTTTTATAAATAAAACCTTTACGGATTTTTTTGTGACTCCAGTCCTATTACTTAAAAATGCCTGGGGAGGGGCACCTGGGTGGTTCAGCTCAGGTCATGATCCCAGGGTCCTGGGATCGAGCCCCCGTCAGGCTCCCTGCTCCCTCTCCCTCTGCCTCTCCCCCTGCTCGGGCTCTCACGCTCTCACTCTCTCACATAAATAAATGAAATCTTTAAAAAAAAAATGCCTGGGGAGTGTTTAATTTAAAGGATCAAACTTTCTCCCGAGAGATAATGGAATAGCTACACACCAGGAAACATTCTGGAAATCTGGTTTTTCCCGAGTGGAGTTTGCTTAAAGAAAGGCCCAAAAGAACTCTGGTTGATGTGAAATAGTCACATAAAGCTACCATGAACTTTGACCTTATTATCTTCCCCTATCCCACCAGATCCAAAATATCAGACATTTCGAAGACGCTTTTTTTTTTTCCTTTCCCTGTGCATTTTAGGACTGCTAGCAGTCAATGTAGTTCCCATAAAAATTCTCTTGGGTATTTTTGGAACTAAAAAGAATGAATAGGATTAACTTATAAGTTTGCTAGAAGAAAAAAAAATGAATATTCACTCTCAGAAATAATTTTCCATTGGCCAGGAAGCAGAGCCGTGATTGGGTAGGCCCATCCGCAGCTGTGATCTGGGTGGGTGCCTCCCTGCACCCAATTTCAGGGATAGACCCGCCCGGGACGAGGCTCGCCACACGCTGACATGCCCATCCTTAGCCTCCTTCGTAGACCGGATGAGCAAGACCCCAGGAGCAGCCCCCTGGGACACCATTGCTTTTGGGAAGCAACTGCAGATACACCCTGGTGTCCTTTCTGGGGGTGACGTGGTATACCGAGAACGGAACCCCAGTGCTTCCTTCTTGTTCGTTCATTGTTCAACCCACCCATCCAAACAGTATTTCTGAGAACCTAACCTACTCTATGCCAAGGTGATTGTATTGAGCAACAGGAACTGCTGTTTCATGGGTGAGAAACAGGAATGTTGGCGATTTCATATGCTTCAACCTACTGTTTAGAGGGTTTTCTTATGCTGGTATTACCAGGTTTTTTTTTTTTTCTCTTCAGATGGGATCAAAGAGGGCGTAGAGAGCCCGGTCACCATCTGCTATGGGAGTCTGGATCTGCCCGATTCCCTTCCAGATATGGGGCAGACACCAGTTTCCACCATAGGTGTAATGGTGTAATATTTTTTTACTTTACAAAGGAATGAATCCTTGTTTTATTTTTATTTATTTTTTTAAGATTTTATCTATTTATTTGACAGAGAGAGACACAGCGAGAGAGGGAACACAAGCAGGGGGAGTGGCAGAGGGAGAAGCAGGCTTCCCACGGAGCAGGGAGCCCGATGCGGGGCTCGATCCCAGGACCCTGAGATCAGGACCTGAGCCGAAGGCAGACGCTTAACTGACTGAACCACCCAGGCGCCCCTGAATCCTTGCTTTAGATCAGCTTCTCCCGGACACTCTTTTGTAAAGAGGCGGTCTGGGCTTTGGCCCATCGGCCACCACTCTGTTCCCACAGCTCCCTGGGCCCCGCTCTGCGGTGCGGATAAGCAGCTGGCCTTAGAAAGGCAAGTCAATACCACAAGAGGAAGGTGATTGCATCTGTGCTTTCCTTGTCCATGTGCCACTGTACCGGACGTTCACTCACATGACAAATCAACACCAACTATGAAATTAAAATGATTTAAGGACCAGTTATTTTTAACAAACAACTAAAAAAAAAAAAAATCTGACATCTTTAAACTCTAGGGCCAAAGGAGATAACCTGGCATGACTTCACTAATTTAATTAAAAAATGCTTTCCCTCTCTTTTATCCAACTTGTTGTTAACCAGATTCTCTGAGAACAGGATTTGTACCAAATTACACCGTTTGGGGAAGAGCCAAGAATAAGGTCAAGTGTAAATACAGAACAAAGATTCTGGGATATTTTTTATGCTACAGATACAGCGCAGCAACTTATTAAATGATTACATTTACTCAACAGGAGTTACCAGAACGAACTCAGCCGCCAGCAACGAGGCAACCTTTTGGGCCATGAACAACCAGGTGAACTCTAACCGCAATGGCCAGGGGGTGGGACCAGGGTTTCTCAACCTCGGTACCGGTGACATCTGGGGCCAGATAATCCTCTGGTGTCTGGGGGGGCACCCTGCGTCCTAGGACAGTTAACAGCACCCCCCGCCTCCATCCACCAGATACCAGCAGCCTTCCCCCTGGTTGAGAAGCACTGGGTTGGACGGATCCCCTCCGCTCAAATGCAAACTGAATGGTTTGTGAGAGGAAAGAGCAGTGTCCTGGGGAACAATGTATGTCAGCTCTGCCAACCAGAAAGAAGCCTACAGAATGATCGACCGAGAGGGACTGTGGAGAGAGCTACACGGTGCACAGACTGCGCTACCCACCTTGACAATGAGTCACTTCCAGTCAAACTCAAGGCTGGAGAAGAAACATTGGCTTACTTGGGTGAAGGGGTCCTGGGCAAGAGATGGGGCTCGCTGCCTCGATCCTTGCTCCACAAGTGGGGCGTGGGGGGAAGTTGGAGACGGAGATTTCCCCACCCACCTCTTGACGTTTGCATGTCCTGACATCTGTGCCCAGAAGAGCCATTTCTCTTCCCAGCCGCATCTGGCCCCTACTGCTTATAGGTCTCAGCTTAAGTATTACCTCCTCCCAGAAGGGTTCTCTGCCCCTCTCCCTGCTGCCGCCCTCCCCCACCCCGTCTGCTCTGGGCATCCTTGCATCCATTCCTCCGGCACAGAACTTAGCACCTGACCACACTCACCCCCCCCATATGTTTACACAGACTGCAGTAGTTTGGTTTCTGCTCGTTCTTCCCATTAGAACACGGACTCCAAGAAGACAGGGACCCTGTCTCTACTGAGAACCCAGTGGGGCACCTCCCCCCAAATTATTTGCTGAGCTGATGAAGGAAATCACTCAACTGAATGGCTCACGATTGGCCTCAAGCGCGTGATCATCATCACAAAGAGTTCCGTCGCCGTGTACACTGGTTTGTTTCCGCTAAGGGCGACCAGACTGGCATGTGCAGGGCACAAATGGATGGGGACAGCGGTATGGAAGGCGTGAAAGTTCCCAACCCACCCACACGTTCTGTTGGCTGTTTGACAGACCCAGATTACAATCCATCTTTCGGAAAAATGTTTTGTGCCCCAAGTCCCCTCACGCACCTTGTCAAGGGGTCAATGACACATGCCAAAAGCCCGAGGAGACAGCCACATCCGCTGCGTGGCCGTTCTAGTCTTCAAAACCCTTCTTGTAAGGGGCAATCCTCTACTCCTTGAGGGGGGCGGGGGGGGGGGGGGGGGGGGGGGGAGTAGCGAGGCAAGTGGGAGGGCCATTCAGAGAAGACTCAGTGAGGAGCGGAACAGGGTCTGTATCTCCAAGCCCGAGCATCCTAAGGGACCCGTGGGGCCGCTGGCCCCCTGCTGACATCTAGTCTGCCTGGTCCCCGTCACCACAGCCAGGTTCCAACACCAAAACACAGAGACATTTCCGTCTAACTTTTATATGAAGAATTTAATTATCTATACACATCACTAATTCAAAAGGGCATATTACAGTTGTTAAAGCCGCAGGTTTATATCTTTATATATCTTACATTCAGATCCATGAAAATACTGAAGGGCGAGGAGAGGAGGCTGCGCACCAGCCCCTGCGCCCGGGACTGGAGGGGGGCCTCACAACGCACCTGCCAGCACAGGCAGCTGCTCCCGAGGGAGATGTAACTGCAGGTTACAAAGGCATCAGTGGAAACTGGGAGACTGGGCTCGAGGCTTCCCCTACCCGGTCTCCTGTGCTGTCAGCAACAGGCATTTTTATTGAGAGCTTCCAACTAGTGTTTAAAAAAGACACACACGGCTTCAGCTAGCACGCGTCGGACACATACACAGACCAGGAGCTCCGTTTCATTACTAAGCTGCAGAAATCCCACAGTCTAGTTAAAAAATGTAAACATTGGAAATTAATCGCAGGGAGGCTTCTATACATTCTTTCTTGTCAAGAAAATGACTTGTTCGGAATAGGTCATTCCATGAAAAGGAACTGCAGTAAAAACTTCACATAACAGAGACCGAGAAGAGGTTGTGGGTATTGTGGATCGTCACCACCGCAACGGTGTCGTCTACTGCTTTTATGGTATGAAAACACGCCAAATTAAAAACCCAAAACAGAAAACACCAACTCCACCAGATAAATCTGAGACCAAACAAAAACACAGGTGCTTTCTCACGGGGCTACAGGGTCACTGTGCAAAATCCAATTAATGCAATGTGATTAGAGCATCGTACAAGGTAGTAGCTTTTGCCATGGGAAAGAACTAATTTCTTATGTACAGGATGTATTATTACATGCTCAGCAAGATACATCTGATACACACAAACAAGCACAAAACACCGTCTGTTTAATTGGGGTCATTCTACACGTCTTTAAAAACAGATATACTGAAGTCCTCTGTACGTCTACAGCGGGGGGGAAACCCAAACTACACAATTTAGTTGATAACACTGGACAAAATGAAAAAAAAATACATCAAGTCTCAGATTTATGGACATTTGGAACATTTCTTTAATAGCACATGCAGCATTCCTTGATAGTGGGTCTTTTTGCAAAACTGAAATAGCAAAGGAGTAATTTATTGATTTTTATTAAAAGGCTAAAATATATTTAAAAAAAACACTTTTAAAACTATTGAAAGCACCTGTGCAAAGGTGGGGGGGACATCAATTTGAGTCACTAGGAAAGCCACAAAAGGACCCACTACCCTGTGTATTTTTTGTAAGGTTCGCTTCTATCTCTGTAAGTAATAGCTTGACATTGTCATCACATGCAACTAAAGTAAAATGAGGTAAACTGCTCTGCAGTGAGTTCTTCTACTCAGAAGGCAGTAGGTGATCATGCTGGAAGTCACATGATCAAGGCTGCATCTCCCATCATCCCTCTGGGCAGTGATATGGGATAGTGGGTCTCTTTGAGGACTTTCAAGCCTGAGGGGGGGATGGACAACATATGATTCCTAGAAAAAGGAGGAAAACAACACATAAGCAAAACAAAACAATGAGCAAAATTCAAGCTAGGAAAATGAGTCAGGCATGTCAACAGCATGGTGCCAAAATGATTTAAAAAAAGAAAAAAAAAAGGAAAAAAGTGGGGAGGGGAGGGAGGGGTCATGCTACAGAAGGAATGAAAATAAAACAAAACAAAACCAAAAAAACCAAAAACAACCCCACAAGACAAAGTCTTGCATTACAGAAGGTCTTCAAAGAGACTGTCGTGAATGCAGCAATGGTCTGGCTTTCCGCTCTGCAACCAAAGCTCAGCCAAATCGCAGCAATGCCGCGTGTGACTGTGAGAAACCAGAGGGGAGAGGCAGGGCTGCCGCCAGGAGCACTTACATTGCTGGCTTGGGTCCGTGTCCGCCGTCAGCTTCACGTAGTTGGAGGGGAAGAGCCCCACCTGGCCGTTGACTTCTCCTCTCCACCAGTCGGGGTCGTCCTTGTTGAGGACGTTGATGATCTGGCCCTTGCTGAAGGCCAGTTCATCGTCGTTCTGGGCGCTGTAGTCGTACACGCCGATCACTTGGCACACTGCGGGAGACAGGGCCGGGTGAGGGCCGCGGGGCGCGCACAAGGGGTTGGTGTGGGCTCCTGGCTCCCCCCTCCCGCGCAGGACCGCCGCTGTCTGCAGACAGTACACGGTTAAGCGGTTCGCCCCTCGGGGGCTTTGCAAAATGCGAGGGCATAAAAACCAAGGCGACAGCAGAATTTCACACTAAGTCTGTAGCTGGTGTGATACCTTCCTCTTTCTCGTGTTTACGCGGCAGCAGAAAATCTCCGCTGATGACTGAATGCGCTCGGAACCGCTTCTGAGAGCGGAGGGACGGCCCCTGGAATGCTGACTGCACAGGATGGCAATTCGGCCACACTGCTCTGCCTCCTTCTTTCTCCCCTCCCCCCTTTTTTTAAAAAGTGGGAGGTAATTAACCAGCTGACCCGCCCCCCCCCAAAAAATCCAAATCTTACTGAAAAGCAAAACCAGTGTTTTCTTCTGCTACAATCTTTGTGGCTCATAATCTGGTCTCAAAGGAAGAAATCACCCCGCTCAAGAACGATTCTTCCTCTTCTCACTTTCCCTCAAACCTGTGGGAGGTTGAACTGCTTTTGTTTCCGGGCCTGAGCACACTTTCAGTAAGTCCGCACAATTAGGTTGGGCCTCTCATTAATCTTCCTCAACCAGGCTATCTACGGGTTTAGGTTCTGCAAGTTAATTGAATCACTTTGGCAAATTATTTCTGTGGGTTTCAACCAACCTGATGAAGGGGCTCCTGCCAGGCCTCCCCCAGGGAGGGGGGGGGGGTCCAGCTGGCCCCACCCCCTCCGCCCACGGCAAGGCACAGCACAGGCAGAGAGGCCCAGCTGGGGCTGGGAACAGTCCCATTTTGCCAATCCCTGCATTTCTTGCAAAGCCTGCCAAGTTTTCATCGTATTTCACTGGGCATGTATAGCACAGACACAAACGAAAATTCTGCATTTTCCAGAAACACCACCCAAGGACTGGTGGCTTGAAGACCTGAGGGCAGATTCCTGCTCCCCTAACCTCGCCCATCTCAAATATTACCAAAGCATCTAATTTGGTCTCCTCGGTCAGAAAATAGCCAACCGGCTCAGCCGTGGGGCCCTCTGTTCTTTTGAGTCCTTTAGGGGAGCGTGTGCAACATCCTGTCCATTAAGCGAAGCCCCCTCTGTTCACAGGAAATGTCAGGAGGCAGTTATTTTAGTCTTCAGCAAGCAGCACATTACAACCAACAGACCCCCGTGGCCTCCAGCTCCATCTCCTGACCTATTTAGACCCCGGCCATTTATTTTTAGTAGTCCCTTTTTTTGTCCCCTCTCCCCCTATCCCAAATCCCAATTTAAATAGCTGGAAGGAAATCAAGAGAAAAATCTGGCTTTAATGCCATAGCATTCATGACTCCTTTAAGGAAGAGAGTTCCAACAAGGGCTCTGTTGTACCCAGAACAGCAAAGCTGCTTAGATACTTGGTCCTTTTGAAAAACATATTCCATATCACATTAGTCGGGGAGCAGTCCCAGCAAGTAGAAGAAGTGTTTACAGCAGATGCGAGAACCACTCTGAGACACTCCATGAGGAAACCAAGCGGAGGGACTATGGTGACCCGCGGACCATTTTCCAAGGAGAGATCGTATGCTGCCTACCTGCCGGGAACGCCATCGGCTTCGGGGGCTCCGTTGGAGTGATTTTGCTTGTCCCGGGGCTTAAAAGTTTTACGTAATTAGCGGGGAACCAGCCTATCTGGCGCTTCTTCCCACGTGCCTAGTAAGACAGTAACGACATCAAAATGCTTAAAAGGGTCATGATCATTCAGGAGACAGCCTGCTTTGCAACAGACAGCACCTACAGGTTTACGTAAAACTGCAAACCATCTGGTATGAACAGCAGAATCTCTGAGTTCCTATATTTCACAATGAAAACACTGCAGCTAAAATTCAAACCGAGGTAGTCATTGGAATGAGTCTGCAGGGGCTGGAATGGGTGGATCCCCATTTGGTGGCACGTGGTATGTCCAGCAGAGAGCGCCCACTCAGGTGGCGCTGGCTCTCACATGTGACTTTCAGGGGATGCAGAGATGACAGTGAATGCCAACATTACGTATGGATGCGAGGATAACGGTGACAATGCTGATAATAAAATACTACTAATAATAGCAGGCAACACTTCTTGGGTGCTCTTGATGAGTCAGGCCCTGCACTGAGCATCCACATGCATTTACCTGCACACTTCCAGAGGGAGAATACTATGACTATTCCCATTTCCCAGATAAAGAAAGTGAGGCCCAGAAAAGTCCAGTGACAGCTTCCAGGTTACAAGCCAGTTAGTGGTAAGCCAAGGGTCACACTGGTGTCTGCGCTCTTATGGATAACACGAGATGCCATGCGTGCAGCATATACAGGACATGGGGGGGTCTAAACATGACCTTGTTTTCAAAGGGGGTGAGCTGAGACCTGCGATTCTATGAGGTGGAAGGGTCTAGCTGGGAATCATGGGAAGCACTATGAGCAGCCAACAATGCCAACGGCAGAAGTCAAATGGTTCATACATGCGCGCGCACGCGCACGCACACACACACACACACACACACACACACACACACACACACACAGAGGGTAGCTCCAGAAGCAAGACTCTGGTAAAAACAGTTGCCTTCAGGATGCCCAGGTGGCTCAGTGGTTAAGCATTTGCCTTCGGCTCAGGTCATGATCCCAGGGTCCTGGGATCGAGACCCGCGTCGGGCTCCCTGCTCAGCAGGAAGCCTGCTTCTCCCTCTCCCACTCCCCCTGCTTGTGTTCCTTCTCTCACTGTGTCTCTCTCTGTCAAATAAATAAATAAAATCTTTAAAAAAACAAACAAACAAACAGTTGCCTTCGAGGACAGGGGTGGGAGGGAGACCTTTTCATATCCCCCTTTGCTCACTTTTGAATTTTAAACCCTGGGACTGTATTATCCCCAAAATAAGAAAACAAGACCAAAAGAAAAGAAAACTTGCTCTACCTTAACTCTGCCCTCCCACCTGCCAAATCTCAGAGAAGGATCCATCTGGGTTACTTTTAGAACATGGATCAAGTTTCCCTTTCCTTGCGGTCTGATAGACTTCGTGCCCTTGGCTGAAGGACTAAAGCTTTTATTTTTACAGTGAATCTGTCAACAACTGCAGCCTCTCATTTGCAAGTCCCCACGTGTTCCTCTACCCAGTAGGCCGCCACATGGCTTGCAATGAGTCCACCATGCCCCCACGCCTGCACTTTCACAAGGGCAGAACACGGAGCTCACTGGCAATGTCTTTTCCGCTTGTGTGTCCACAATGAGAGAGCCCCTGGTTAGGGCACCAGAAGCCCTCCGGCGCCTGGCAATTCACCCACTTTCTTGGGGATTGCGAGAACTGTTCAAAACTCTCTTTTGAGGGGAGTCTGAGTAGCTCAGTCGTAAAGCATCTGCCTTTGGCTCAGGTCATGATCTCAGGGTCCTGGGATGGAGCCCCGCATTGGGCTCCCTGCTCAGTGGGAAGCCTGCTTCTCCCTCTCCCACTCCCCCTGCTTGTGTTCCCTCTCTCGCTGTCTCTCTCTCTGTCAAATAAATAAATAAAATCTTTTAAAATTTTGAGCAAAGTGCTAGGAGGATGAGGATAAAAAAATACGGTTACCACCTTCAAAAAGCTGATAACCTGCATGCAGACATAAGAAATATGGGTGAAAAGCTAGTAATATCAGCATCACTATTAAACACCATGAGTGGGGTGGGCATTGGGACCACCACAGCTCAGGGGAGGGGTGGGAGAGCACCAATCATTGAGGCTCCAGAGTCTGGGGGAGGGCCTGTCTTCAAGCGAGAGCAAATCACCAAATGAGATGAAGCTGGAGCGGAGATGTCACGGATGGCAGCTCAGACTAGCGAGCTCGCGGCTGGGAAGGGAAGGGGGTATCTGTGGGCGGCCTCAGGGGGTGCCAGCATAGTAGGACCAAGAGGAAGTGTGTCCCAGGTGCCCAGATGGGCAGATTCCTGAGCCCAGCAGGTGAATGTGGTCAGCCCTGCTGGACAGGTGTTATGGCTGCCCAAGACAAGTTGAATCTCCAACTACACTCTAGAATGTGCTGTCCATTCCGGCCAAGACACATTTCTCTAGGCTTTTATTTTTTAACTAACTGCCCCACATGCACAGAGAGGTACTTATTCTTCAGCTCACCACAACAGCGATCTTCCCCTCCTTGGCCAAGGTTTGCCTCGACAAAATGGCCAAATGAGGACACAGGGACGGACGGACACACACACACACACACACACACACACACACACACACCCCACGCGCGGGAACTAAGCATGTTGTGATGCACAGATGTGGCTTCCGTACCACACCTTATAATTAACGATGGCAAGCTCGGCTTCCATAATGTCATGACACGTGAGGAGGACCCTGCGGGTGCCCCTCACCATAACTTCTCACTCTCCCAACACTCACTCCCAGAATTCAGGAGTCAAGCAAATTTGGATTCATCTTTCAGGGACTACTTAAGCTCTCACAGTTCTGCTACCGGCTGCCCGAAGCTTAGAAAACAAACACATGGACTCAGATGACAGGGCATCTCTCGATATCCAAGTGCAGGACTAGGTGGTGCGGGGCTGTGTTGTACTTTGCAATGACATCATAGCCCTTTGGGGATTTTACACATTCAAATCTGGACAGAGAATTTTAAACAAACGGAAAGGACACTAACTTGCAGCTCTCCTTCCCACCAACCGCCTGGGTTCTTTTTTCGGATCAAAATCAGCTGACCAGGGGCCAGAGTCAGCTGCTCGGGACCAGTGGCAGTGTAGCAGGCAATAACCTGCGCGATTTCTGGAAAACAAGATCAAACATCGCGGCGCAGTGTTACGGTCAGGAGAAGATATTCTAGAAGATACAGCCACCTCCCGGGTTCACAGATTATCGGCACCCTGGGCTGGTTTTCTGCTCAGTGAATGAAGATGGCTCACTCAGTGGCCCCCGTTCCACGACCTACGATCCAGAGGCAGCATTCAAGGGCTGGGCTGAACTTCTGGTTCTGCTCTAGGACCTCCTCATCATCTCTCAGAACTTATTTACCAAACTTCCCTCCACGAACCCCATTCTCGCCCCCCAATTCCCACACCTTCTGTCCCAGCCCCTCCCACAATTGCTGCAAACGCCCTGCTGCCCACAGGGAGGGCCTCGCTCCTCCGCACCCCGCCCTCCACCCCGCAGTGCGAGCACCCAGCACACTCACAGGTGGGTACGTGAATAAAGGAACTCAAGTGGAGCTTCACCCCGCTGCCAAGGAAGTAGAAAGAGGAATTCTATTTTCCCCAGAAACTTTCGGGAGCGTGGCGCTAGCTGATTTAGATGTTGTGGCTTTAGACGCTCAGCCCCACCCACATGACCATTTTCTCTGTGGCTCACATTTTGAGGGGGATCCTTGAATATCAGGTGGGAATATGTCAATGCATGTTTACTTTTATTTCAAGTTGAGAAAAAGAATTGGGAGTTAAGAGAATTTTAGGCAAAAACAGTTCAGCACAGGGGGAAAAAAAAAACAACACACAAAATAGTTCTGTATTTTCCCTAAATGTTAAAAATCTCATGGGAAAAATTCCAGCAGTACCACAGACCAGGCTCTGAAAAGTACACTTCTACTGGCACAGGAGGTCGAGTACGAAAAAACAAAATCCCTCTCTGACTGAATTCTGGCATTTCTGCAGTGACTGCTTTCGGAACTTCTAGAAGCAATATGGAACAAACTGTTCTGGTCCTCCACACTCTCTCCCCATCCTAACAGATCTTGAAAGAAAGAAGAAATGAGAGAAAGCAAGCAAGCAAGAAAAGAGGTAAAAAGGCCCCCCTGTCCTCTGACGTTACTTCCTCCTGCTCAAGAAAGCACATTAGCAACCCCCTCTGACCCTGTTCTGCCATCAGCCGCCGGCCGCTGGCCGGCGCGCCAGGCTGTCAGGGGGCAGGCCCGGCCCTGCCAGATGCTTTGGGGTGACCAGGGCAAGCAAGAAAGAGGCCAGCTTACATATACCTCGGCCCCATGGAGAGTCCTCACTGGGAAATCTGTGCTGGGGGTAAGAATTCTCCCCTCACACGCCAAGGACTAGCTCCTTGAGCTAGCTCTCCAAGAGTTTTTGGTCTGGAGAGAGTCCAAATGAGTGTCCTATTTGGCCTCAGATTTTCCTGCTCCTCAAAGGACCTGGCATGCACAGCCAGCAATCTGCCCCCAGCATTCTTTTCTGTCTTTTGTGTGCCTGAGGAGCTCCCTGGTTTCAGTACAAAGTTAAGCCCATCTGGACCCTTTGGAATGACAATTCAAAAATGTAAAACACTCACAGTTAAAACAGAGATGGGGACCCAGGTGTTCCAGCGTCTGGAGGCTGACTAAAATCCTACGACAACCCGAGAACCCACTTTTCCTTGTCAGGTAAGCCCATCTGGAGCTGAGCACCAGACCCAGAAACACCAGACCCCCCCTGGGAGCCTGCCGGGGATGCCCCCATCTACATCTCCTTCGGACACAATAGCAAAACACTCAAATGATCTAGAGGTGGAGGACGTGCCATACAAACCTTATTGTTTCACATCTGCTTCTTTCCCCTCGTGTTCATGGTACTATTTGTAGAACATGTGATTTTGTTTCCATTAACTACAGCACTGAATTCAGAGGGATGACTGTAATTTCATACCTTCAGTGTGTACATGAGGAAAACCACCCCACAGCTTCTAAATTAAGGGGACCTCTACTTTGCTCTTTGAACCCAGGCCACTATTTGTCCTGGGACTGAATTGTGCTGTCAGGAGAGGAAATGAGCCCCCGGACCTCGCACGAGGGTGTGGACGTGGCGGCTGCGCCCGTATCCTAGAGCTGCACGCGTTACAGCTTGCCACCACCTTGCCTGACTTCCTCGCAACCCACAGGAACGTTCTGTCTAGCGACGTCCCCTCTCCCCATGTGTGAAGAGACAGCTGGAGTGCATCACCATGTACACATTCCAAGAAAAGGATAAACTCCAACCCCTTTTAGGAAAGATTCTGTTGTCTTCCCTTCTAGACTTCTGGCCCTCCTGAACAAAGATTGGGAGCAACTATCAATTACATTCAAAACATTGAAAAATAAGCATCAGGGTTTGTAACTTACCAGGTTTTTTTCCTAAACTCCCTGTTTTCCCAGCAGTTCCAGAGCCCTTAAAACAGAGCAAAAGGTCTCATTTGCATACTGCAGAGTTTTGGTCATGCAACTTAAAACGCGATCAGTGATGACACAAGCCCGCTGAAGCCCCCGGCGCCCCCTGCTCATTCTGGGGAAACACAGCAGCACTGTATCTGCTGCCATCAGACGGGTATCAGGAAAACATGGGATAAAATAAGTACTTTCAACACACAGCTTTCACCCTCTTCTTTAGAGAAAAGTGAGCACAGGATGTGGTACCGTGGGATCCCAGAGTGGCTCGGGAGCTGTCTATGGGTAGCACAGGTGTATCCTGTCTTTGGGTCAACCCCAACAGGGGGTGCCGGGCGAGGAAGACTATTAGTCTAGGTCCTAAACACTGAGCTCCTGCTTATGTTCAAATGGTTATTAAATTATTTCACACATAAAAACTACAGAGACTCTGACATCCAGGAGCCCAACACCTAGATTTACTACGTAAAATATTAATATTTTGCTACACTTGCTTTAGAGCTTTCTTTCTTTCTTTCTTTTTGTAATAACGGAAACAGCATAGTGGCAATTCAAACACGCCTCCCCCCACCCCATTCACCTCTTCATCCACAGAGGAAGCCACTCTCCTGCGTACCCTTTCCACCCAAATCTTACACTGTTTAAACACTGAAATTCCTCTATCAGTGCTGGATGCACAATCCATAGAAGCAAACCATAGTTTTTTTTGTTTTTGGCAACTATTAATTGTTCCAAAAGTGCTCTAGGGTTGAATTCCTTTATGGATACTCATGGAATTTTAAACTAGCTGAACAAGCCAACAGGGACCTCGAGTCAGGACAGGGGCCAGACTGTAATCTGTCATTACTGAGTGCTTTATTCTGAACTGATTTTCATTCTTGAGTCCCTATCTGGCAGTAAATTAAGTATTCCAATCAAAACAAAACAGAAAAGTAAGTGTCACTTACTGAATAAAGTAAGTGACAGTTACTGTAAGAATTAAAACATGCCATTTATCTAACTTATCATAGTCCCTTCATTTTGGTTATTGAAACTTAATAAGCATTTCCCAGGGAAAGTTTTGAGTTACAATTTTTTACTCTGATTACAATTTCTGTATTAACAAAACATGTAATGGCAATCTCCCTTGCTATGTTTACAGGCTGCATATCAACATGAAGGAATACTAATGAAAGAAGACTCCGAACGACCAGTTAACTTTCCCAGTACGGACTTATAATACACTCCCTACAGTCCATAAAAGGAACAAGGCATTTTTGGCAACATCGAATGATAGAGTCCAAATAGCTTCAGTGTGTTCCCCGCTTTTTTTTAAGTAGGCTCTATGCCCAACCTGGGGCTTGAACTCAAGACCCCGAGATCGAGAGTCACATACTTTACCGACTGAGCCAGCCAGGCGCCCCGGTGTGCTCCCTCTTTAACACCACAGCCAGCACAGAAACTAAGACATAATCAGAGGGCCAGGTTCTGTCCTGGCACCCTCAGGAATGCAGCAGAAAAGCATGGGTATGGGTCACAGCCTTTCTCCTACAGAGAAGGGAAGCCAGGAAGGACAACCTCCCCCATGCCCACAGGGGCAATTCTGGTATCTGAGGCTGGGTCTAAGAAATTTTCCTTAGACACTGAACTCTGTATCCAAGGAGAAGGAAAGAGCTAACTTTTTAGTTTTTTTCATCATTGTGGAATAACATAGCTAAATGTCTGTCCAAAATCTCTAGCACTGTTGGTTCTTCTGTGGCTCGTATTTTAAGACCGTGGTTAAAAAGCACCTTATAACTCAGCTTACCTTTAAAAAATGTCAGGTTGTTTTTCAACTTACTGATTTCAGGTGTGTGTGTGTGTGTGTGTGTGTGTGTGTGTGTTTTATAGAAAACTGTTATTTATCAAAAATACAATGTAAGTAATGGCTTCGGTCTTTTACTTGATCCAAAAGGTAGTCGCTCTAAGAGTCTTCATGCCTAGTGGTAGAAATTGAGTTTAGTTTTAGTTTTCCCCCTGTGCTCCTGAAATATCATCTGTATGATTCTTACTGGATCCGAATGGATTCCTGGCAAGAAGCCCAGTTCTCCCCTCTCCAGGTCTGCAGAGGACAATTCGCCGGCTGTCCTACCCGAGAGAAGCACTTTTTCTACCAGGCTTCTGCCAAATCCTCTAAGGGCAAGCAGACTCATGCAAATCCCTCCCTGGGCGTCTCAGTAAGCTGCTCTCAAGACCACAGCAAGGGAAAACAAAACAAAACAAAACAAAACAAAAAAAAAACACCCCCAAACAGCTAAAATGACACTCTCTGAAAAAACAAAACCCAAGCAAAATAAAAACTGCTCCTGGGCACCGCAGGGAAGGCGAAGGACTGCAGCGTGGGGCCAGGCTCCAGGCTCCCAAAGCAGCTGCAGGTACCGGGGCCTATGGACCAGCTCAAGGTCCACCCTCGAACTGGCATGCCGATGACAGAGGAGCTTTGTCCCCCTGGCTTACACCTGAGAAAGCCGGTGTTAAAAAAAAAAAAAGAAAGAAAGAAAAAGAAAAAAAAGCCAATTCTTGTTGGTTTATTTATGTGCACTGGATCTGTTAAATGACTACACTGATTTACCCTGAAATTCTCCACTAACTTGAAATTGGCCACGATGGGACAGGCTCCCAATACTCTGGGGGTGGGCCCACCCCACCAACTCATTAAACTCGCACCATCTCAAGACCACTTGGAATGTAAGGATTTTTAGGGCCCCATGTAACAACAATGGGAGCCATTTCTGATTTATAAGGATAATAGCATTTAGAATAAATTCAGGCCCTGATCAATGGGCCTGAGATACTAAGGCCCAGCCCAAAGGGTTATCGATCTCTTAAATCTTATGTCTTCCTAATGTGTAGGCAAAAATATAAATTTTAGAAACTCTCTATGTTCTGGGGCCTGAGTCACCAAAATCCTTTGGTTTTACATGGGGGAAATACTACTGTGTGTCTTTCTTTGAGTATCCCAGATCAGTGACCCTGAATACCTAATCAAGCACGTTCACTCCCAATCCTAAAGTCAGTCACATGCAGGGACAGAGATGAATACTGAACATTAATCCAGTTGGCGCAGACCAGCCTCCACTCGGCCCCAGGGAGATCTTCTGCTTGTGGGAAGCCAAGGCTTACCCTGCAGCACCAAATGACAAGTTCAAACAATTACGGGTCACTCTGTTATTTGCTGTCAAGTTCCCGGAACTTAGCCAAACCCATCAAAGTGTTCCACCGTCAAATATTGTGACTCTGCAAAGAGAATCACCGCACAGAAAGGGAGAGGAAACAGTTAATGTGGGTTTACCTCTGAGTCCTTAAGCCTCACATAGTTAGAAGGGAAGACTCCGGACTTGTCGCCCACTGTTCCTGTCCACCAGTCACCATCTTTCTTGGTAACCAAAATCACATCCCCTTGCTGAAAGGTTAAATCGCCTTGCTCAGAACTCTCGTAAGTGTACATGGCAATAAATTCTGGTGGGGAGAAATATTGAGATACGGAGAGAGCTTGATTGTTTACAGAAATCCCAGACAGCTTTGCAAACGCAAGTTTATGAATAAGGAGGTTAGAATAAGATCCATTCAAGAGAAAGGCTTGTCACAGATAAAACAGAATTGCAGAACACCCTGGGCTCCAAATTCCCCAATTGCACATAAACATTCAGTAACTGCAGACAGGGGGGCAATTCCTGTGAAGACCCAGCCATGTGAACAAAAAAGGCCAACTGCATGTCTACCAACCCTGAGTGCCAGGAGTGAGCTATAATTTAATGTCATGATTTCCTTTTAAGTGAAAATGGCTTTTACATTTACTTTTAACTAACATTTACTGAGTAGTCGTGCTGAGCACTGATTTAGATGCATGGACACACAGGCTCTTGTAGCCACATAGATATCTGTATTTCCCTCTGAAGGGTACCAAGTCATAATTCTGAAAAAGTTTTAGATACAGTATAACCTTTATGTAAATTAATCAAGACACACTGTTCATCATTCAAGTGCCTGAGTGAAAACTGAAGCCCTTTTGTGCCATATACACAGATGGTTGGAAGCTGTTAAAACACAAAATAACAGATATATGCTATTTAGTTAAAAATGGGCATCTACTTGTCATTCAGGTGCACAAACAGGTAGTGTGGACTGATAACAAAAGTAATGTCTACTCAACCCCAGAAAATAAGCAAATCTTTCTGAACAAGTTGAAAAGAAATCTCAGTTTCTTACATTTTATTATTCACATCTTAAAGGGTAGGAACTAATGTTCCTTACGTCTTCTTGCATGTGAAGGGTGTGCATTCCAGAGGAAAATTTTCTTCTGAATTACAAAGAGTTGATTTTGCTAAGGCCCAGAAACCAAATCACACTCTCCGAAAGATCACTAGACACATGCAGGATAAAAGATTTACAGAAAGCTGAACCTAGGTTTCTTGCTTCCGCTTTTTCTCCATTTTATCCTAGGCCTTTGGGTATTTTTTAAAAAGTAATTTAAAAAAAAAAATCACCATTTACCTACCCAGAAAGTTCATTTTTATGATGGATGATGCCTGTTTCTGGCTAAAACTTCAGAGGGAACCCTTAAATTCAGAGCCTAACGTTAATTAATAGGCAGAAATTTAGTATGGAGGAATCCTTTTGGCTCTTTTAAGAGCCTCTGCAGGAGTTACTAATGAAAGCTAAAACAAACACAAAAAAACACAAAGCCCCCTAATGTGAGTGCTAATGTGGGCAGCTCTCCATCGTGGGAGAGCCCTCCACGGGTGGAGGGCTTCAGCAGCTTGGCCTGCAGGCTGGTGCCAGCAGTGACTAGCTGGGGAGTGCGGAGCCCACGGCAGACACAAGGTCACCCAAATGTGCAAGGGAGAACAGAAGCCTCTCTGTCTTGAGTCCTCTGGCGCAGCAAACGCACACCTCCACAGTTAAAACTGGAAAAATGATTTCCTGCACGTGGAAATTAAAGTCTGGTGGTCTTGCTAAGGACATTCTTTTTTTCATTAATATATTCCTTCTCCTGATTTCTCAGTGCTCTGACCCTTCCCTTTTGGTGTTGCTCTGTTAATTGCCCCTTAGCTCGTGTTCGGCCAGTTAAGATAGGATCCTTGGCAGATCAATACTTTTCCCAGTGATTCCTGCACTGAGAAGTCACTTTCTCAAAAAAGGATCCAAATTTTGAAGTTACTTTCAAAATGCTTACGAAATTTCAGAAGCATGAACTCTGGCTGAACCTACGGCTGCACTATAAGATACCAAGGAGACTGGAAAAGACTGTGGCTTCGCTTGCCCCGTGGTGCACACTGGCATCTGGGAGGCTGCTGCAGGGCTCAGTGGGGACTGCCTCTGGAGACATTTACCACAGGGCACTGGCCATTCCCAAGCCGGCATTCTAAGAGCTACCCAAACCGACAAATCTACTTAATCTGGCGTATGGTTTACTTTAAATGTGACTGTCTTTAATGCAGTATGAATAAGGGGCTCATTAATATATGCAGACGGCTTTTCTCTGCACATCAACTGCCAAGTTCTCCCACACCACTCCAGAAGGCCAGCGATCTCTCTCTTAGTGTTTCCTAATATTCCTAAATCATCTGACAATGGATGTAATAAATGTCAGCGGGGATTAGAATCTGTTACCCAACTTTAAACATGTGTGTGGTTCACCTGTGACCTCTATAGTGAGGCCTCAAGGGATGAGGCCTCTGCACATGTTTCAAAACAAATCAGCATTCATCATTCATCGGCACTGCTCCTAGATGAGAATGCTCACTGCACTGAGTGGCTCTCCATCAACAATCCAGGAAACAGGGCAAAAAGGCAAGAACACTAGCAGACGCTCACTGACTTCTCCTAACTGCTTGACACAGATGATCTCATAATCCTTTGTAATAACTTCCTACCTGAAGGGGTGGTCAGTATGCCCACTTTACAGATGAGGAAGTGAAGGCATGATCAAGAGTACATGGCTACTAGGCGAGAGCCAGGGTATAAACTTCAGCCCTCCGAGGAGACTTCATTGGGGAGAATACACTGAATTTGGGCAGAATCGTAAAATTTGCTTTAAACAAAATTGACCATACATGCTATTTAAAAGAGCTTTTTTGTGCCTTGTTCTGCTAACAGTGGATAAACACTCATTCAGATGACTGATAAGAGTGTATAAACAGAACTCTGCTCATGATCGTTTTGGTGGGAACAGCAAAACGGGATCCAATAAAATGCTAGATTTGTTTGGCAGTGATGAGGTTTATAGCTGTATCTATAAACTACAAAAATTTTGCTTCTCGAATTCCTTTTGTTAAAGTTAACTGTGTTACCGTGAGTCTGAACTCAAACAACTGGTTTCATAATTCTGTCTTTCACCAGGCACGCTTTCTGAGGAATGCAACAATCCCATGATGGCGAACAAACTAAATCAAACACATTATCTTCATAGAATTTATTTGAGGAACCCACAAAAAATCAGTATACAGCTGGGAAGACCTCTGTTAGCTCAGAGCACTAATCAGACTTCTGGTGGAAAGCCCGTCAGCTTCAGGTAGCACTCTTCAATTAGATGAGAACGGCTACACTGAATGTAGGGAAGACGGGAGATTTTTACCACGAGAGCCCAGGTTATGTGGGTTTCGTTCATTTTAAACCCCATGCCGTGTACTGGCATGGGCAATCCTCAGAATTATGTCATGAGGTAAAGACCGGGAAATAAAAGCAATTAATTATTTGTGTCATAAACACTCAAAATGACATCTTTAGGCCTAAGTCATCTGGTGTGGTTATTTCCCAGTCACCGAAAAACTGAGCTTCTGTTTCCTTTGAGGTGGCAGATTGCTGGGGCAGCTTTACTTGACCGTGTCGTTACAGTTTTAAAACAACACACTGATGTACAGGTCAGTGGGGAACGGGCTCTATTCGGGGAAGCAGCGACCATAATTCGGCCACAGAGGTGCTCACAAAACAGGATCCCTAGAGATGCCGATGGGCCTCTTTCAAAGGTCAAAGGGCTCATGACCAAGTATCATGACAAGATTCAGTGTTTATGACCAATATCATCGGATACTGTTTTGAAAGTCTCCACGAAGTACTCTGCTTCTGTGAAGATCTAACCTTGCATTTTATCTCAAGAGTGGAACACACCGAGCGTCAATCAATGTAGCCTTTTTTAAAGTGAAATTCCATCTCATTTCAAACATTTACTGTTTCTGTGATGTGAGCCCCTTGACCCTCCCGAAGAGCATCATTTGTCTCAGGTTCTCTCACCTTCTCCTGAGACGGCCGGCTTGGCTGCTGGCGAAGCTACTCTCTTCAGACTAGCAGGACTTTCTGAAGAACCAGAATCCATGCTGGAAGAGGTGGGAAGATAAAGTATTTAAATTTTTATCTTCAAAGAAATGAATACAAATGACACTGATTTTCCTTTTTAAAGCTGCTTAATGTTTAAAACTCTGAACCATCTACAGCAGAAACAGGCACATCTGGCTAAGTGAAAACACGGAACGTGCAGCAGAGGCAGGATTCTGAGCTTGCATTCTTGTTTTTCAGTGTTTGCTATGCTGGGGGCACAGCCCACGTACTGGTCTATTTCCAAGCATGAAGGATAGATGCTCGTCCACGATTTTTTGCTATTTTTATCTCCTTGAAGCTCATAATTTGTTTCGAGCACCTTCATGATTGCAATAATTGAACTACAACCTTTATGTTAAAGGATCCATGCTCTAAGGTTCCTAACAAAAAAGAGAGAATTCGTTCTTTCCATTATTTCCCCAAAAGCTTTGGGCCTCTAAGTCTTTGTGTGTATCTGGCAAAAGTACTGGGCACTAGGCACGAAGAGAGGCGTACTCTCCAACAAAGCCACAAGAATGTTCCAGGTCTCAGAGTAGAATTCCCTTGTACAGAAGTCACTGAAAAACAAGATATGCAGCCTTTCACAAGTGAAGGGGGAAAAAATGACCACTTATTTGTCAGAGGCTGCCTTCTGCTGGCACGTCCCCTAACTTCTGCCGTTAGAGGATCTGGAAGACAAAATTATCCTGCAATCCCATCTGTGAATCTTAACCAATGCAAGCAATACTTTAATGCCTAACATTATTTTCATCTAACAGAAGCAGATAAACACAAAAATACCTTGTAGATTTCCGTATGGGCCCTGAAATGAGTTTCACGTAAGACTTGGGGAACCAACCCTTCTGACCCTGAACTTCTCCAAACCACCACATGTCTTGCTGTTCCAGGACGGTGATGACATCATTTTTGTTAAAATTTAAGTGGTTGTCTTTTTTGGCTCTCCAAGGATACAGGGCTTGGGCTTGTAGTCCCTCCACCTTCTCGCCCTTGTGCAGAAACACATAAAGGACCTCTCGTTACTCCGTGATCAGTCACCGACTCAGGACGCTCCTTCCCAGCAAGTGCGCGCGCGCACACACACACGCGCGCACACACACACACACACACGCGCGCGCGCGCGTGTGCCCAGCCACAAAGGACCCTGCTTTGGTGCAGCATGGGTGCTGGATGCGTCCCTGCGTCTTAGGAATCGCTTCTTTTCAAAAGGAGAGGCGCAAACCTGCCAGCCTAATCACAAGGCCATCGTCTGGCCATCTCAAACACCCCCTTTCAACAAGCCAGGAGGTCATATTTAATTTGTGGCACCTGGCTGTGCGCCCGTTCTATTTGGTTCCATTTTAACCCCCGAAAGGCCCAGGGCAGCCCTCCCCCATTTCCAAACAGATTCGGGCATTTGGTGGAAGATTGATAGGGGAGCAGAAATCTTACGGAACCTCAAGGGATAACGAACTGATATCTGAGTTTAGGTGGACACAGGAAAATATGCCCTGCGTTGGATTGCACTTGTTTTAGTTCCTTTTTAGGAACGTGGGGCGTAACTGCATTGTGATCCACTGCCAACATCTACATGCAAAGGCAACGAGGGGTTATTACAAAGAGGAATGAAATGCCACCTGCCTCCTCGAAATAATTTAGGTTAAAAGACTTTATTAACCATAAAAAGGGACAGTACGCTATTCTTAGCGAAGACTTCACAATTAATGGGGAAGAAAGAGATACACACAACGATCTAGACCACCTGGCAGAATGAAATCTACCACAAAGAGGCTCCAACTATTCACTGTGGGAAGAGAGAGGAAAGAGGACTGAATTCTGCCCACGGGCAACAGGGACAATTTCACGGAGGCTGCGGCACCGGAGCTGGGCCTTGAAGGGCGAGAAGGACTGGGCGAGTTAGGGCTTCGGAAGAAGGGCACTCCAGGCCGAGGGCACGGCACAGGCCAAGGCCTTGAGGTGGCGCACAGCAAAGGGTCCAGGAAGAGGAGCATAGTCCCGGGGTGCATGGAGCCTAGTTTCCTGGACAGGTGTAGTAGGAGATGACGCTGGAAAGGCAGGGTGAGCCATTTATTATCTTTTTAAAAACTGTAACGTAAAACCATTACAATATCTTAAGATAATACTAAAAAAATATGTCAACTTTCAAGCATATGTGAAAATGGACAGACACAAAAGATGATGCCCAAAGACAGCTCCTTCAGAACCAACGTGTACTTGCCTTTAGAGGACACTGTCCTATCGACATTCAATGGTGGGTATTTATGTCAAATAGCCCCAGCAGCCATGATGACAGCCTCTCCACCCCTGGTCTTCCTGGGTCCTCACCTTCTCAAACCTACCGCGTTGCGTCCCTCCTCCCTCCCATCTCAGCTGCACACCTCCTTCAAGTCTCACAGATTCTCTGCCTCCCATTTTCCTCCCTCGGGCTTGCGGGAGGCCCCCGTCCCCACAGTCTGCTGGCTTATGGCTCTTTTGTGCTGTCCAATCCTCCCAGGTGCTTCCACTCGTTCCTCTGCCAAGCCTGGGCCCCGGGGTCAGCCATTTTGACTGGGTGGGCCCTCACTGGCGTCTCATAAGCTCTTCCCCCGAGACGCCCTCCGTATGCCTGCCTTGTCAACCCTTCCCCACGGACACAAGCAAATAACCCAGCCTGGGGCCAGACACTGCCTGGACTCAGGGTTGGAGCCCCATGTGTGTCACTTACTAATTTCGTGACTTTGGACAACTGTTTCATCTCCCTAGGCCTCAGTTTCCACCTTATAAAACAGAAACACTTCCTCTAAAAGGTTAAGGAAGTTTAATGAATCTATCCCTAGTATTGCTGTGGTATTAACAATTACCGTAGTAGCAGCTTCTCTTTCTACTGCTCTTTCCAGTCCGGACTAGACGGCAGTATGGCTGCAGGGAGCTGAGATACAGTGCAGGGACGGCCCGTTAGGGATTCAGGTTAAATCCCGCCCAGAAATCCTTCACTCTGCTCGGCTGATTCCGTGCACTCCGCAGCCCTTAGGATTCCCTCCCGAGAAGGTGGCCACACGGCGCCACCTGAATCCCTTTTTCTCCTTTATCTTTCTCCAGTCTCTCTTCACCCTCCCTCTCCTAGAAGAAGAAAGCTGTCTTCTTTCTGCACCCTGCATGTGCTTCCCACCCCCCACCATGACGTTCTCGGTGCCTGACTTGCGGTCCCTTCCTCCCTGGTGCCCTCCCTCCGCTCTGCTCCCGTGATTCCGGGGCCACAAACCTCTCCACTCGCTCACCCTCTTGCCTCCCCCACTCTTCGCCGTCGGTTTATCCTACTCTGTCCCAGGTCCCAGGTCGCTCTTCCAGCCACACTACTCTCTTGGCCTGATCACCACCCCCTTTCTGCAAACAGCCAAGCCGGGACAGGAGCAAAGGGAAGGAACCCCTGTGGGCGGGAGCTCCTCCTCCTCTCCCGGGTTGCAGAACACACACACTCTCCCTATTTTCCATCTTCTTGCTCTGTTCTCTTTTTTGAAGAGCTCACACGGGGCCTCAGAGCTGATCCACGTTCCCACTGCCCGCTGGACGGGCCCACCTGGTGCCCCACGTTCACCTTAAACACATGTACAACCCAGCTCCTCCAACTAAAAATCACTTTCTCTTTGTGCCCCCATTTCTCTCTGAGGTCAAATCCTTCGCTCAATCCCCCACCGCTCTCCTTTCCTTTGGCTCCAATAGAAGTGTGACTCGGTCTTACCTAGCGGTCGCTCCTGCCCGATGTCCTCTGCTTGCACCTCCCCACGAACCTGCTCCAGGTCAGAAGCTGTCCCCCCACCCCCAAATGCCTGCCCAATGGGCACTTGCTCTGTTTGATCGTTTATAGACGTTCCTTTATCTTTATTGTATTAAGTCAATGACTGCTTTATTGTATGTAGTAATATTCAGAATTAACTACTTTATCCCGTTTCCCTGTAATCAGCCAATCTTTTCCGATATATACTCACTGGTCTCCCCAAATCAACTGGCCCAAGCTTTTCCCCAAACACTCTGATCTCCTACCTTAAAGCCTCTCCTCACAGTATTTGCTGGCTGTAAGGCCAGCCCACTCCACTTGCAAATAAAATCTACCGAGGGCAAGATGCTGTTCAAATGCCACTTCTTCAGGGAAGCTTTTCTGGTCAACCTGTGCAAGGGATTACCCTCCTCCGAACTCTCCAGGCTCCTGAACGCTATTGGGAAAACGTGACCTGAATCTACATGGCCACCTGACCCAGATACATACAAATAACACTGTCCAGAAGCACTTGCCAAATGTGCTGGTACTGGGTACAGAGGGCCGGGTCTTCACACTCCCCCTGACTGCCTTTACCTGGCCTAAGACAGGAGACGGAGAAGAGCCAGTGGTTGTGGCTGGAGTAAATGCTGATCTCTGCCTTAGCTGGCCAGCGCTTGGGACGGTGAGCGAGGGCTGGGCGGCCCACGCGTCCCAGTTGTCTGTTTCCGGCTTCTCACTCGTGCTGGTGGGCCACCTGGAAGGAAATGTATGCCACCGTGAGAAGCGAGTCCTTCCTATGCACCAGCTTTCACCCACGGCAGACGGAGACTTATGGGGCTTTCTTTTTTTTTTTTTTTTTTAATTTTATTTATTTATTTGACAGAGAGAGACACAGCGAGAGAGGGAACGCAAGCAGGGGGAGTGGGAGAGGGAGACGCAGGCTTCCCGCCCAGCAGGGAGCCCGATGTGGAGCTCGATCCCAGGACCCTGGGATCATGACCTGAGCCGAAGACAGACGCTTAACGACTAAGCCACCCAGGCGCCCCTTATGGGGCTTTCTTAAGTTCAAAAACAAGACGGGGAGGAAAGCGCTTCAGACTTGGTTTTGAGTCCGAGCTTCACACCCTAGCGACAAACCTCAGGCACATGACAGTAGTCTCTCTGAATGTTCATTTCCTCATTGATAAAATGGCAATAATATTCTGCCACTTTGTCATTTGTAAAAACAACAGTGAGGCCAGCAAAAAGGAAGTTAGGCAGCACCTATGAAAACATGCCGGCTTCGCAGCTGGCGCTCAACACCGTCTCTGTCCCATCGGTCCCACAGCGAGCACCAGGCCACATGCCCAGCCACCAGGGTAACAACAGGTGGTACCCTTACAGCAACCAGTCATGCTGGAGCTGGGACGATTTTAATTTTGTGATCTTTATAATGTTAAATAACTACATCTGTGCGAGTGCAAACCCAAATGTAATTTACTTTTTACGTCTTTATGAGACATAAACACAACTGAAAAGCAAAATAATTCCTTTGAGGGGTGCCTGGGTGGCTCAGTCGGTGAAGCGTCCAACTCTTGATTTCAGCTCAGGTCACAGCCATGTGATCAAGCCCCACTCTGGGCTCTGCGCTGGGCATGGAGCCTGCTTAAGATTCTGCTCCCTGTCTCTCTGCTCCTCCCTCTCTCTCTCTCTCTTAAAAAAAAAAATTCCTTTGTTAGACTGCACATCCTGATTCTGGGTTTGGAAAATAAGACACCCATAATTATAGCAGCAGAACTGAACACCACACGTATTGCAGAAGAGTCACAATGACTGAATCCACAGCAAAACAAAATCCTAGAACACATGGTATTTGTCTTCTATGTTAGCCTAAGCTTTAGTTTAAAAAAAGTCAGAACTTTTCAATCAAGATCAAGACAGAATGGGAGAGTTTCAACTTGGAATCATGCTAAAGGAAGGCTACTTTTTAGCAGAGGCTAGAGAGGGAGGACCTTTCGTAGCAACTACAACCTTTTACATGAAAATAGGAATATGAAAAATTTGTTATTCCTTCCATCCTTCCCTCCACTTCCTCTGCCCTTGGTTACCACGCTCTTTTCTCCCCTCTATTTGAGCCATCTGATCTTTCTCTAGCACTACGTCTCGATTCCTGGCCTTCCATCTGTTTCTTTTGAAAGATGATCAGACTTGAAAAAAGAAAAATTAAGATACTTCTTGCTCAAATCACTCCTATCTAACTGCCTGTCTAAAATACTTTTACGGGGCACCTGGGTGGCTAAGTCGGTTTTAGCGTCTGCCTTCAGCTCAGGTCATGATCCCAGGGTCCTGGGATTGAGCCCTGTGTCAGGCTCCCAGCCGCTCTGCCTACTTGTGCTATCTCTCTGTTAAATAAATAAATAAAATCTTTAAAAAAATACTTTTCGACAACTGCACACATAGATCACGGTCCTCTAACCGAAAGTGTGCACAACAGTTACCTCCATCATTTCAAACCTCTGCTCACACACGGTTTTTAATGCCATTTCCTGCTGACCAAGGGTGCTGCCCCAACATATATGTACCAGACCGATGACAGAGGACAGAGGAAAACTTTAGAGGAAAGAGCTTTCTAGCTTGTTCAAAATCACGTGACTGAATTCAATTTCTGTTTCTGACCAGCAAAAAAGGGCTGGTTACATGCAGGAAATGACTCTCTGTGCTGATTGACCTGGGTGTGAGATCATTTAGGAAACGTTATTTCTCCATTTCTTCCACAAGAAGGAGAGATACAGACCAATCCAGAGTGCGGTAAGAGGATAGGCTTTATTTCGCGTGTGCCAGGACAAATCACTGCGGAGCCATGAGATCATCAGATCCAGGTCAGAGACCGTCCTCCGCAGTTTGCTAGCACAGTGGTCAGAGAAAGGGGTAATGGAAATAAGCCCACTCCTTTCTGCAGACGTACGGCCCAAAACCATAGCAATACTTTAGAAAGATTACTGAGCAAGGAGATGAAAAGTCCTCAGAAAGAGCGTGCCTACACGTACGTGGAGCTGAAGTCAGCCCAGTTGTTGGGGGTCGTGGAGGGCTCTGGAGCGGTCACCGCCACAGGGGTGGGGGGCTCGCGCACGGCCAGTTTGGGTGCAGGCACAGAGGCTGGGTCAGGCCCGGGTTTGACTGGAGCGGGAGCCTCATTTTCTGGGATTTTCTCTGCATAGTTTGCAGGGAACCAGCCCGTCTTTCCTTTTAACTCTCCTCCAAGCCAGCCCGGTTCTCCAGTTTGGCTTTCGTCCACCTGCAGGAAAAGTCACAGAGTTTAAATCAACCTGTAAGGATACCAAGCGCTCTCCCAGGACCAAGCCCCAAGCCTCCGACCCTGTCGGATGGGCACACCACACGGACGCCTCTTCACCCTATTCTCAACTGCGTGTCTGGGAAAACTGTCTCTAAACATTAACTCTGAACAAACAGTATGTGTTGTAATGCAAGGTCTCATTCTTTCTGTTTTTTTTTTTTTTAGCTTCTTCCCCCCTTTTCTAGCAATGGCAGTTAAGATAAAGGGCCTAAAGTCCTCAGGTCCATAGTTGAAATTTTTAGAATTACCTTGAATTGGAAAGTGATGTGACAAACTTCATCACTTGGGAGGTCACGGAATTATTAAAAAATAATTTGACTTGGGTTTATGATTTAAAGCTGAAAGCAAAGGGTGCGATCAACATTAATCAGCTCAAAATCTCTAATAACTAAGTGGTATTTGTTCAGCACAGGGATAGGAAAGATAAAAACACAGTCTTAGATGGTTTCCACAGGAAGCAAAACTGATGTTAAGCCATTTAAAAGCTCTTCTTTATTTGCTCATCATATACCTAATTTAAATTAAATTAAAGAAGAGATTATTCATGGCAACGGTCAATTTTATTAAGGTCCTATGTTTTTCTTTTATATAGATTTAACTTTAATATTATAAAAGTGCACCTGAGAATACAGATTTCTGCTGTTTAAAACTCTTCACAGAGGCTATTATATCAAGTGCTTTTATGTTTTCATTTTAATTCTAACTTAAAAGCATCATTCAAAATCACCAGGATGGTTCTACCTATCGTTATGAGTTACCCCCCCTATTTCATAAGCAACAGGAGAACGACTTTGGAGGAAAATGATTTCACTATTATTGGAGGAAAATGATTTCACTATTAGAAAACTATCTTCATTACTGAATCAAATCAGAGACCTTATCTTATTTTTATCCCTTAACAGATACTGCCCGAGGAGGTAAAACATTGGACACTTCATCAGACGTTAATGTTGCTTTTTAGAAATCACAGAAGTGAGCAGGGAGGAGCTTAACAATGACTTTGGAAAAACAGAAAAAATACCAGTTTTCTAACTCATTCAAACATACGGTAAAAAAAAAATAATAAAAATAAAAAAAATAAAGCTCCAAACTATGGAACCGAACATCTACTACCTGTATTCAGTGCAGAGTAAGTGTAAACGTATATTAGCATACTTGAATTTTCAACATGCTTGGGATGGGGTGGAAAAAGTAGAATTACATGGCTTACGACTTAACTCGAGATCTAATTCACAAAACTTTCAGTGGGTAGAAGATACTGGCACTCTGCTCCACCTTAAGGCACCCCTACTGTCAGGGGTAAAAGCAATTTTTAAAAACTGAGAATGCTCCAAAAAGGAGTTCCCCAAGATAAAGAGCAATATTGCTTCGGAGGTTCTATTTTTTGCTTTACAGTTCTGACACTCCTGCTAACGCTCACATCAGATGTGAACACATTAGCCACTTTTCATTCAACTCCCCCGCACTGTTTTGTGCTTACGTTCCTTTTTCTGGGCAGCCCCAACTGTTTCTCTAGATAAGGATTTAAGAGGACATTTTTTCCCACTTGGATTTTATGCGAAATGCAAATGGCTAAATGCCTTTCCTTCTTCATTTATATTTACTGGTGATACTGTGACACATTTAAACATCGCCACAGCTTTGCAATGGAAACAGCTGTTTTTAGGCCAGATTGTGCCGGGGGCTCCCCAACTCCTGGGCAGGTTCAACGACAGTCAAGCTCCCACCCCCCTCCACTTATCTAGGACCAAGGTGATGTCAGGCAGGAGTGAGTAAGGAAGGAACTTGAGCCTGACACAGTGACCTGGCCTCCAGAAGGCGAAGGGTAATGATCAAGAGTAGAGCTCAGCAGACTGCCCCAATTTAAACACCAGTTCTACCATTTATTAACTGGGTGACTTTGGGCAACTTTCATCTCTTGGTGCCTCAAGTTCTTCATCTGTCACATGGTAATGATAGTACCTATCTCATTATTGGTGGCTATGAGAATTGTGAAATATTTAAAACACTGCCTGGCATCTGAGAAGTGTTTAATGATAGTTTTAAAAGCCACCTACCTCTCCTGCTGTCCCGCTCTAAATCTGTACTGAAGCTCTCTCATTTGGGCTTTTGTCCCGTTCTAAGAGCCTGGTCTTTACCCCCACTTTAGGGAACCATCCCTGGTTTTCTGTATGGGGCGCTCTCTGCTCTAGGAACCTGCCTGGGACCCCGGGCCCTCTGCGTTTGCCTTCCACCAGCAGCAATGCTTTAAGGGGCTGGATTTCAATCCTGCATCATGGCCTGTGTGGAACTGCTACTCATCTGTCCAAGTAGGACCTCCTCAAATGTCCTCTGCTTGACTCAATTATGTCCTGGGTTTTACTGTCATTCCCTTGACACAAAGGGTCTTCTCTGGTTAACAGGACTTTTGGGACTGACATCTGGAATTGGATCTGAAGCCCTTTGGGCAGGTCTAGCTTGTACCCCAGGTAGCTGATCACATCCAGCCCTGTTCCCCTCATAAGATAGAAAGTGTGCTTTACTGCTGGAAAGCGTTTTGGTATACTTAGGAAGCAGAGAAGGTATCATATAAGCCTCTTATCTGTGCCAACAAGAGTCTCCCCATCCTTCAGGGTAAAAGATCAGTTTTTCCCTTTTAACCAAGGAAATTCACTGGTCAACTCTGACCAACCAAGAGTCTCAATAAGCCCGATTTGTTCTTATAGGAATCCATTAATTTTAACGAATAGCTTAATTTAAAATTCAGAGGATATAAGAAAAATTCACTCTTAACATTAAATTTACCACTTAGAAAAAGCACAAAGGTTCTCATATGAAAAGGAGAACTATTTCTTCCTGGATTTGGGAAACTTGACCCAAAATGCCAATCCAATGGTGGAAAAACAGTATATAAGATTAGAACAGAAAAAGAGTTAGGCATACGGGGCTGGCTATAATGTGGAGTTTAACGTACATAAAGTAGATTCATCTCCTGGTGGCTCTAAGTCAGGGGGATCTGAAATATTAAAAATAGTGGTCTTACTACACTTTCATTTAACTAGCCCCACCGCAACACCTCAAAGCATTTGGGGATCATTCTAGTGGAACATCAACAAAAAGGGAAACACAAACCCCAGATGGTGTGCACGTGTCTCGAACGTTACCAATCTATTCTACAGAATGTTAATATACACTGTAGGCTGCAGGGCTTGGATTCAACAGTCAAATGCACATAGCAGCTATGAGGTTTAAGTACATATGGCTGAAGCCTGATAATACGGTCTCCTTTCTCAATGTTTATATGCTTCACGGCTGCCAAATTCATCCGGTAGCATGAATATTTCTGAAATCTCTGACCTTGTCGCAAAGAAGGAAAGAGAAAGTCCCTCTCCCCTCGCAAGCATGACACAGAACAAGGACAGCAAAGAGATTTAAACTGTGTACCAACTCAGAGGAGCTGGTGGGACTGCCTGGGATGTGGTGGGGCTGCCTGGGATGCGCTGAGGAGTACGGGGGGGCAGCACATGGTTTCTGCATCTGCCAGCTTGGGAATACAAGGTTTTCCCAAAAACTTTTGGGTTGGAATATGAAAACTGTTTTCTAAAGCTCTAATTTAGAGGTCATCAAATTTCTCCTCAGTTGTAACTACTAAACTCTACCCTTGCAGCGCAAAAGCAGCTGAAAGCAGTATGCAAATGAATGGGTCCAGCTGCATTCCAATAAAACTTTATTATAATAAACAGGCTGGGGGCTGCGTATGGCCCACTCCTGGAATCGGATGTGTACTGGTCCCTCCAAACAGTGATGATACTATGGCCACTTGTTACTAAACAAGCCAACCTCAGATGTTAAGGTTATGGAAATCGAAGGAAGGCAGGAAAGAAAAGATACTGACTATACTAAAAAAAAAATCTCCATCCAGAGAAAACAAGGAAAAACAATGAGTTTAATGTTACATGAATAACACCAAATTAGAAGATAAACAATTTTCAGAATGAATGGAAGTGGTAGATTGGCTGATAACCAATAAAAAAGTGTCCTTTTTGGGATATTTCTAAGAGGATATGTTTCAGAAATGATTTAGGATTATTCTTGATGGGAAAAAGGCATTACGTTAGATTGGTGATTCCCAAAAGTGACTGCCTAAGAGGTCCACCTGGAGAAGATTCTGAATCCTGTATATGGAGTAAAGTGTCCAGAGTCTCTGCGGGTGAGCCCTAGAACACTTATTTCTTCTAAGCTCCATGAACAGTTCTAATGTCCTCAGTCCTGCACCACCCAGACCTGCTGAGTTAGATGATCAGCCTGTGCTCTTAAGACAAACTTCAACAAAATGGCAGTGAGCAAAGGTCTTCTAAAATTTTTTTTTTTTTTTAAGTAGGCTCTATACCCAACATGGGGCTTGAACTCATGATCCCGAGGTCAAGAGTTGCATGCTCTTCTGACTGAGCTAGCCAGGAACCCCTCTTCTAATTTCTTATGCTATTCTAATACATCATGGATGTCAAATTTGATCTATTCACTCTCCAAATACTGGGACCTCCGGATCAGAAGATAGGCCATCAATGTTCACAGCATTTAAGTTCTAGCTGTCAAACTCAAGGTCAAACTCAATTAAGAAGCTTCCATTAAGAAATTCTTCCCTGGAGCGCCTGGGTGGCTCAGTCGGTTAAGCAGCTGCCTTCGGCTCAGGTCATGATCCCAGAGTCCTGGGATTGAGCCCCGCATAGGCTCCCTGCTCAGCCGGGAGCCTGCTTCTCTCTCTCCCTCTGCCTGCCACTCTGCCTACTTGTGCTCTGTCAAATAAATAAATAAAATCTTAAAAAAAAAAAAAAAGAAGTTCCTCCCTGAGCATATCAGTCCATTCTGATTCCTTTCCTCTTAAATTCCTCTCAGAGTTGGTAAGCATTCATTGAGAACTTCATCAGACATTTGCTTTTTCATGCGTTTCTCCCTACTTTTCTAAAAAGACTTTAAATATATGAATGGCAGACATCATCTTATATTTCCTTATATTATAAGCAATATTTAGAACAGGACTATATACAAGATACTACTTTTATTTTTGTCAACCATGGAAAAAAATATTTTTTGGAGAAAACCAGACTGATAGTTCTTTTCAAAAACAAAAGACTTTTTAAAGCTCCCTCCAAGACTGCCGATGTTAAAAAAGGAAATGTTAGACTCCTGAAATCTAATCAGGAATAGTCCACTAATTTACAAAGAAGTTTGAGAAATCAGAATCTGACGTTTATTGTGCCCACAAAAATAACTGAAATCCTGATTATTCAACCAAGAGACTGATAGTAATGTTCTACTACATATTTTCATGATCATGTAAAATAATAACTTCAAACTTCAGGGAATAAAAAAATGTTACTATCACATGTCAATTTTGGTGGGGTTTTGTGTGTGTGTGTGTGTGTGTGTGTGTGTGTGTGTGTGTGCGCGCGCGCACGCACACTGAATGTTAACCTCATGCAGATAATATAGCTGAATGCCATTTGGGATGTAATGCTGCACTGTGTAGTAGAAGAAGACACTGCTCGTCCCCTCAGCAAGCCAGTAAATTATGCCTAGCCGTACGTTCCATCCTTCATGACGTATTTGGGATGTCTGAGATAAAGCAAACACCATTCCAGAACTGGGTATTCATTCTGTTATACTTAGTTAAAGTTGGATTTATTTTTAGTGTTTCATTAGAAATTACAAATGTACTTTGTAAATATGAAAATAATATAAAAGTACAAAAAATTAAAAATGAAAGCCCCCTCTTTACTGCCCAGCAGTAACCAATGTTAATGGTTTCATGTCTATATTTCAAGAACTTAACCACACACATAAAAACATTCACATATACACACACATAGATTTTTATTTAACCAAAATGCAATTATACTGTACATACTGTTTCTGCTTTTTTTTTTTTTTTTTACTGGCGAGCTTAATCTATATGTGTAGATCTATACAATTTTTTTTTCACATCTTAAATCTTCCTGCTTAGCTGTATCATAATTTATTTAAACCATTCCCTTACTTCTACGGGGCTTTTTTGTTTTTACCAACAATGCTGCAGTGAACCTTCGTCTACAAATGTATTTGTGCATATGCCAAAATACTGTCTAGAGGAGGGAAAGTAACAGAATTTCTGGGTCAAGGGGAATAAGAATTTTAAATTTGAATAGGTATTGTCAATTGCTTTTCAAATAACTTAGCCAATTCATATAAGCATGCTGACAGCGTGTATTTGATCTATTCTCCTGCATTCTTGACAGAGCTGGATATTACCAAACCTTTAAACTTGCTCAGGTGAGAAATGAAAAATGCTATCTGGGGTTTTTTAACTTGCATTTCCTGATCACCAATGAGATAAAGCCTCTTTCTGTATATTTTTAAAATCACATAGTTTTCTTCATGTGTGAATATCTCTTCATATCCTTGGACAAGTTTTGTAAGTTTTGGGTTTCTTTCATATTAACTTTTAGGAGTCTTTATATAATATGGATGTATTTTGCAATATACAAGTTTTAATTATTTTATATTGTCAAATCTGTCCATTTTTACCATTTATGGCTTCTGGTTTTAACTCAGGAAGGTAGTTCTTTGCCAGGAAATTATTCCCATATTTTCCTTTTTCAAAAAAAAATTTTCTTTTAAAGATATTTAACTTTTATGTTTAAACTACTTGGAATTTATTTTTGTCTGTAGCCTGAGATGGAGACTTAACCTCGTAATTTGCCAAATACACAGCCTTCAAGTTAGGCCTTAAATGGAATCTGGCAAAGAGAAATCCGGTACACAAACTTTTATACCTCTTCTTTTTCTTTTTAAGCAAAACCTACCACACAAACTCAAAACATATTTTTACTGCCATGACAACACCTGAAGATATATGTACTTACACAGAATTAAAGTGATTTAAAAGAAGAAAACATTTAATAAGATGCAGACTTCCTGACAGTTACACAGACTTACCCATTCCCCTTTAACCTCCACCAGGAAAGCAAAGGTTTGAAAGCAAGGCAAAATATGTTTAATGAAATGTTTTATTTTTACAGCACATCTAAACTCTATTCATCTAGTCAAGCTGGTGGTTAGCCAGTTTGAGGAAAAATATCATTGTTACAAGACTATGTTTCCAAAATATAGCAGTATTTTCTCATTAAAGTATAGATCATCTAGAACACTTCCTTACTGTAACATTTGTAACACTTCCTGATCTCAAGAAGAGAGCGCTACTTTTCTGGACCTTGTGTTGCAACAAAATCCAGTTTCAAAAACTTTAAGCTCTTTTTTTTGTTTCAGTGTAAAGAAACAACTTTGTAATGAGGCCCTCTCTGATGTCACATTGTACTTTCATAAGTTTTAGAGTCCCAGCATGGTATTTTTATATATTTTAACAATTCATAGGCTCTAAAAGCCGCAATATTTCAAAGATGAGGCAGTATGAGTAAAGCTGCTTTAGGCCATTAGAAAACACAGTGTGGCAAAGAGTTGGTGGTGAAGAAGATGCCTTGCAACACCGTCCACGTGTATGGAGCACTGTGCCCGCGCCACAGAGAACCCAGTAGTTCTTTCCGCGAAGACTAAGTGAAGCTAGCACGCAGGCCTTCACACACTGTTTGCTGAATGAAGGCTGGACTCTTATTTGGAGAGGGTGTGTTATCGTTACGGAGATTTTGACTTCTAAAGAATCTGATATTTAGCCTTGACTCCCTTATTTTAAGCCCATGATAATTTGAGATAAAACGGTCAGAAATAAAGGGGAGAAAGGCCTGAGACTCTGAAGACCAAACACACTGTTCTTTCTATATATTTTGGCTCACTAAGAATCACAGAGTCTCCACAGAGATCTGATGTATACATGCAATATGCATGCATGAGTAATACTGCAATGATCTGTGCATTACCCTTTAACTTCAAAGACACCTACTACCGGTACCACAAGCACATTTGTCTCACTCAGAGTTCTTTTACAATTTGGAACCATTCCCATCTTTAAGCAAACAAAAAATGCCAAGAGTAATGCAAAGTTTGACCACTTCTATGACTCTTAATTCTGAGGTTATTAACTAGACGGAAGAACTACTGTTTTCTTTCAGAAAATAATTTAGGTTAACCACATGACTTTATTCTTTCTTAAAGTGGTTACTATAGTTTGAGTTACAATCACACGAGTCTATTTAACTATTAGTATAATTCAAGGAACTATGACAAAGCAAAATTCTGAATTCTTTTATCTGCTCATTTACAGAGTAAGAAGGCAGATTAACTGTATGTAATTCACACAATTCAAAGATCACACAATTAAAGGGGAAAAAAAGATGCACTGACCCAAAGATACAAAAGTTATCATTGGCCAATTGTGAAAGTGATGATAAAGCATTTTGCATTTAAAACTATTTCTTAAAGACTATTCATAGTATTTAAGCAATCTAAACTCTGAAATTACCAGACCTTTACCAAGTTAAAAACACGCTAAGGCTGTGTGATAAGAACCCATTTTCTTTAACACCTTTATTTTAAAATGCTGCTAGGATACATTTCTAAATATCATCTTTCATTCTAATAGGAAAGGAAGATTGGGCTCATACTTCAAAAACCCTGGATTTCACACTCGGTGACAATTTCACTCTGTCAAATAAAGCGCAAGAGGAGGACAGATGCTAATCATTGACAGAAAATTACACTTTGACTGGAGTCTTTCTTACCATGACTATGTCTCCAGGCTGGATCGTGATCTCATCGTGACTTCTGGATTCAAAGGGATAGAGCGCTCGGTAATACACCACCTTTACATTCTCCTGTGCAGAAATTGTAAGTGGGCCTTTTTCTATTTACAAAAACAGTGGGAAGAAGGGAACAAAAATAAAGCATTACACGGAACATGTATGCATGACAACAAGCCAAACAAATGACCTCTCCCCTGCTGTTGACCTTAACATCTGAACTCTTCCCATCTATTCAAGGAATTTCTGAAGCACGTACTTCGTGCCAAAGGAGAGCCAAATCTGGTGTCAGCAACTCAAATCCATCAGAGTTCACTGGCTGCCACTCCCTGAACAAAGACCATCCCAATGCTGATTGCAGCGAGGCTGTCTTAGGTCCTGGCTGAGGCTTCGGTAGCACACATCTGTAAAGCATCAGGACCTCTATCTACCCCCCGCCCCCCCCGCCAGGGTGCCGAGTTCAATGCAGCAGTTAGAATGTGACCCCCGATCTGAATCAGCCAAGAAAACTCTTTTGGCAGGAAGCAAAGAAGCACAACTTCCCACATTTTTAAAAGATTTGGAAATGCTGATATCTTTGGCCGCTAAAGCAATCACATAAAACGTTAAGTGCTGACTTCACCAACAATGATTATTATTGATAATCCCCAGTGAAGTAAGTCTTCCTCCACATCTCCCAGGGGTGGGGGAAATGAGCCTAGTGACAGACCTTATATGAAACTACTTTAGAGTTTAAGTAAAAAAATTTTTTTTAAAATGCATGCAAACAGAAGACAGTCTGACTTCCGATTCACTTAATAGTATCTAATCACGGCCCTCTGAACTGTTTTACCCTAGAAATGTAGGTATTTAGTCATACATCTATTTTCTCTGAAAATCAGTGAGGGGAAGGTATTATCTTCATGCAGTCTGGAACTGGATGAGGTGCCACATTTCCCACTGACCACAGGAAGAAGAAATCCTCATTCTATACTAGGAGGAAACATAAGGAATTTAAACTAATGGCCTAAGATCGAGTACTGGTGAAATTATTATTCATATCAAAGGCAGCATTAAAACGTAATTTTGCTTGCCGGACTTTCTCCCTGGACTGCAGGCATCGGATGTGGGGCCCAACTCTGAACCCCACTCCCATCTCTGCCCACTATAAACAGGAAACAAGTAAACCCTATGGAATAGTGTGCTTCTTTCTTTCCTTTCTGTATACCAATAAAAAGCACACTGATAATCGAACAAATAAAATTGATATAATCTGCCATACAAAGGAAAAGGCAATCCCTTTCTTCAGCTGAGTATTATTTACAAAGCTGCACAGTACCATAGACCCACACAAGAATCTCAAAAATACATGCTAGGTTGCATCTGATATAAGAGATAACGTTTTCTAGCGATTTCAAAGGCTTTCATTTATCATGATTTAAACAGGCAACTTACGATCGAAGGGCAAAAAACAGTCACAGTTTTCAAAAGGTCAAAAACACGCTTTCATGTAGCATCGGCTGAAGACAGATCCCTGTAGGCAAGGGTGCCCGAAACCGCTCAGTAATTCCCAGAGAAAAGAGCAAACTGGAGAAGCAACAGGTTCTTTCCAAATCTGGAATACAGGTTTCTGGATGGGGCTTGGTAAGGAAACTCACGCCATTTTTGTCTGCAAAGGCCCTGGATGCCAGTGTGAGAGGGACCAAAGGCTGGTTGGGTGGTGGTGGAAGATTAAACTGGCATGTCAGGAGCCTACAGAATGAATATCTGCACTGTCTGAAGCAAAGGACCCTGGCATTCACACCTAGCTCTATGAAAGGAGCCAAGACAGGGCCTGCCTTAGATGTGGGACTTCCTCAGGACGATCTGGCAGAGAAAACCTATTTGCTAGAATGACTTGTGGCCCCTACTACCTGTGGTGGACCAGGGTGCCTGGACAGCTGGCTTGGCTGGTTCCTGATGCTGATGGAAAAGCCGGCTCATCTTGTCTTGTGGGTCTGGTTTGCTTTTCTCCTCACTGTCCTTCTTCTTGACACTCTCCTCCCTTCTGAGTTTTTCTTCATCGTGGATCTTCCTTGGCCGCTGATGCTCATCGTCCTGCTGCGCATGCTCAATCCACTGCTTGTCCCTCTCCTGAGCTCGTCTGTCAACAAAATGCTTGATTACAGCCAGGAAGCAACTCCAGTTTCATAATGCTGTGGGCTCTTTTCACAGAAAAGGCTCCAGCTAGCAAATGGGATGGTCCATGCAGAGAGGATACTGTCCCTCTGATGGAGCAATCAGAGTCAATAAGACAAAGGCTCTCGGGGCTCCAATTCTGAGGGAGATGATGAAAGCACAGGACTCAGAAAAACACAGAAAGAAGGTTCCTGATGTATTTTACCAGGTGTTTAGAAGACTAACAAAGAGACTTCTCAATGATAAAACTGGTATTTCACTGCAAAAAGCCGTAATACACACAGGCACGAACGAGATGAGAGCGCGTACCCCGACGAACACACACGTAGCCCCCCAAAACTGAAGGCAGAAGCAACAGATTCATTTGAACCCTTTAGGTGGTGACCATCCTGTTACTAAACTAAACTAAAATGCTCTGGGCATTTGCTGAACCCGAAAATTTTGTGTTTGTCAAAGTAACTGACATGAAGGGACAAGTGCAATGAAATCTAGGCCCCAACATCTAAGACAACCGCAACCTGAAGTCCACAGGACTGGACCGGGGACGATTTTTGTCTCACTGCACGATCATCTACAAGATCAGAAAACACTTTAGAGAAACGCACATGCAAAAGTAAGCGATACTATGATAGTCACAACTAGTCCTCCCCCTACACGAACTCCATTACCCTTCACACCAGAGGAGTAGGTCCTATTAACGTCCTGACTTTTACGAGGGAGAAAAATGAGGCAGAGATATTAAAAGGCTTGTCCAAGGTCACACGGCCACACCTGCCTGGGGCTCAATCCCAGGCCGCCCGGTTCTAGGCTCCACACCCTGAACTGCTATCCTGTGACATGGCCAACGCACAGGTCATCTCCTGGAATTAGGAAACTGCCAAAGGAATATAATATAAACAAAGAAAGCTTGTATTCGCCATTTAAAAAATATGGTATTTATTTCTACCCGTATGCATATGAAAATTTAATGCAGGAAAATTCTCAACTTAAATTTTTCATGTTTTACTTGCTTTTAAAACATCTTTTAAGCACAAAAAAGTTTTTTGGAAGTGGTCCCGTACCTATGTTGTCATTTGTAACAACAACAAAAACACACAATAGAACTTGCTTAGTATTTGCTGCTAATAAAAGTCATCATGTATAGTGTATAACCATGTAATTTCTGAAATTAATTTTTGGGTACTACTTATATGAGTAAAGCAGGAGATTTACCTTTTTTGTATTATATTTTGTGTTGACTTCTACTCCGTAGAAATGTTAAAGCTCAGTACAGTATGCTGTGAATAATCAAAGTGTTTTATCAACTTTGAAGATAAGGAAAGGATGGAGTTAAGGTTAATCAGCACATCCAAGAAATGAATCCTTGAACCATACCCCAAGAAAACCATAAAACAGTCCTCTAAATTGGTTAGAGACCCTACGCACCTGTCTACTGGTAAACTGTATAGGTCCACTTATACGGGGATATTTGACAGTACAGTGCTCTGAATATATTTTCTCTCCCTTATGATTTTAACATTTTCTTTCTCTAGCTCACCTTATCATAAGAACACAGTATATAACACACATAACATACAAAATATGTGTTAATTGGCTGTTTATGTTATCTATAGACTTCTTTCCAGTCAAGAAGAGTAGGCTGTTAGCAGTTAAGTTTTAGGGAAGTCAAAACCTATACTCAGATTTCCAACTGAGCAGGGGGGTCTGTACCCCTAACCCCCTTGTTGTTCAAGGGCCAACTGTACTACACATGCCCACAAACTGTATACCCCTCTGGGTAGTTTAACTGAGCTTAGCCCACTAAAGTCAATGATTTGCCTCAAGTTATGTTTCTTCATCTTTTTTCTTTAATATATTAGGTATATTTTTTAAGATTTTATTTATTTATTAGAGAGAGAGAGCACGAGCAGGGGGAGCAGCAGGGCAGAGGGAGAAGCAGGCTCCCCACTGAGCACGGAGCCCGATGTGGGGCTCGATCCCAGGAGCCTGGGATCATGACCTAAGCCGAAGGCAGACGCTTAACCAACTGAGCCACCCAGGAGCTCCCTGTATCTTCATCTTTTTATTCTAATTTCAATAATCAATTTTTGCAATTTATACTGCATCACTGAAATATAGTCATTTTTATTTCCTGGAGTCAAAAATTAATTGAACTTTAAAAAGCAAATATCCGGTAACAAAATCAGACACATCGAAAGTTAACAAATAAATTTCTACAACTCATGACAGAAAGTTACCAGTAAAAGTAACACACCACAAACACAAATATTCAAACAAAGATGAACAAATAAATGTGTCTGGATCCTAAGCAGCAGCAAATTTTCTCCTTTTGTACTCAACTTTAATTTGCAGTTGAAGAAAAGAAGAAAGAAGTTGGAGTGGCACACTGTCTGTCCTACTGGAGAAAGCCTGTGTGGTGAGCGCTCAGGGGCTTTGATTTCAAACCCAGCACTCGGGATAGCCAGGGTTATTAAAAGGCTGTGAACTGGAAACGTATTTTGGTCATTGGCATGCAAATGAGCATACCAAGTGTCCTAATTTCCTTGTATAATTCCATTTATCTACATAGTAGTAGCTTGGGAGAGCTCTGGAAACTAACCAAAAACTTCAGGGGGTACTTATATATGCAAAGATTTATATACACACGTATTTGTGCTTGCACACACACAAACACACACACAAAAGACTGAAGGCTCTTTCTGATCAGTAGGTACTTGCAGAAGCCCCACAAAGAATAATTAATACTCAAAGTTCCTTCCAGATGGGTCCACGATCCACAGGAAAAGACTCACCTTTGGGCTTCTTCTTTTTGTTTTTCTAATTCTATGATCTTTCGCTCTTGTTCTTTCTGTTTCAAACGTTCGGCCTCTATGGACTTCTGTTTCTGCAGTTGCTGCTTATTATGTATTTCTCTTAGTTCCTATAAACAATCAGGAAACAGTTCACATAATGACACGAGGTGACAGGCATCTCCACTGTTTATCAGCATGCAACATTTTCATAATGAGGAAGTCTAGTCATTTAGGAGACTAACATCTCAGATTTGAAAAACATTAGCTTGGAAAACTGAAATCACGCTACATTTTGACATGACTGATCTACAAGAGCTGTTCCAGATTATATTTTAGTGAGTCATAAAACATTACACCATTTTCCATTACATGCTTTAGAAGGAACTTGCTAGTGATGGGTATTAGAGAAGCTATGTTGTTCAAGACTCGGCAACAGAAACGGACTTAACCAGTTTTAAGGTATGATGATGATCATCAATAAAACCCTGAGGTACTTGTGATAATGAATCAACACCAGCCTCTACTGGCTTGGAAAATACACACACCTCTTCACACACCGCCTCCATTAAAACCTCACCTTCTTATGCTATGCTGCCTTCGAACAAATGGACATCCCTCTGTTCACAATCTTGACTGCCCCCAGCAAATCACACCCTTCCAGAGCATCTTCTCTTGCTAAATCCAAGTGTGAAGCTGTTGACTTTCCCAGACTAACCCATCAGTCAGGTTGAAAGTAAATGTGATAATATGACGGTCACCATGTTGGACCCAGCTTCCTCATTTGGTATCAGCCCCCAGGAAAAACAGGGATTTCCTTATCAAACTACTGGGGGAAAAAAAATCATTTTATGATATTTAAAGTACTCAAGTCAGAAGTTTAAACACCCCAAAGTGTGAAGAATAAAGAAATGCCTGTTGAGGGAGAACCCATAGAGGTTCCATAGAGGATCCCAATGGTCACTAATAGATTGTCACCGAGACTCCTCTTGCTTGTGTCAACAATAAATCAGATGAGTCAGTATCCAGTAGAGCCAAGGATGCATTTCATTTTTTTCCCCCTGTCTCTAAGGGTGCATTTCCAGTTCACTTCCTCATCTGGGTAACTCGGGCTAGTACCCCGAGATGGCAGCCCTGGGATCTTTTTGGTAAGCTGCCAGAACTAAAGTAAGGTCTGCCCTGTCTTCTTCATCTTGTCCACTGGCTAAGTTCAAATGGGTACGTTTCCTCTTGCCTTAAACTCCTACCTTTGGATTCATTCAGAGACGGAACAGAGGTAGAGCACTGTCTATAGAACATCAGTGTTAAAATGCACTTATTCCTAGAGAAAAGCCCTAAGGGTTAGGCTAACCTTCTTCTGCTGGCTAGACTGTTCTCAGGATAAAGTAAGAATACATGGACGAGTGTTTTATAAACCAGAAGTGACTTTGGGAGATCCTAAAAGGGATCAGTGAGATACAAGGAAAAGCGTTTGGAGATCAGGAGGTTAGGGTGAGATGGTACTGAGGCGGGTGCTGGGGGGAACAGCTGGAGGGAAGTAGGCACGGGGAAGGAAGGAAGGGACTTTGGAGGGGAACCAGCAGATGAGACTGGGAGTATCTAGGCAGGATGCAGCAGAAAAAAGCAACTCTGTAAGGTACACATTCGTGGACTATGCCCTATGGCAGATGCCCTGGGCACGTGGCTTGGATTTGATATTTTACAGACAAATGGAAAAAAGGGGACACTTCCTAGTGTTAGAGTACTCTGTACTCTTGGCTCCAGTTAATCTCTCTCTGTGAAAAGGAAAACTGCAGTGGGGTGATATTAAATCAATCTCTAAAGTCCTAAAAGAGGGACCCAAAAGTTGGGTCCTGCAGGGACAGCAATGGCCCACTCCATCATTAGCCCAATGGCTGAGACCCTTTAAAAGAAAGGGGGGAACCGTGACTGAAAAACTTTACTTTTTTATTTTAAAATTTCATCTTCAGTTGCATAAAATTCTTAGGTTCAGAAAGAATAATTTACGGCAATAGACAATATTCAAAAGTACTGAACCGGGAACAAAAAAACCTGGATTCTGATCTCAGGTCCCTGACATAGGCCAACAGCTGAATCAGAGTGGATGACCCTTGGGTTTTCTTTCAGCTTTAAGATCTGTTAAATTCTTCGACACTGTTGATCACATAAAAAAATTAGTCCTTGTTTATTTTATTTTAGTGTCTCTTATATTTAGGGTTTTATTCTTCTTATGGGAATAAAACAAAAAGGCATAACTAGTAAGCAAAATAACTGAGCTGAAATTAAATACAAAGGAGTAAGAAATGGCAGGGGAAGAGTAACATTTTAGTTTGATGTTCAGGAGCCTGATTATATATTAAAATAGAAAAGCTGTTACTTTACCCAGGAAAAATGTATTTCTAGAAGAGTGATATTCAAAATATTTAACAACAGGTACTGCACAGCACTGGCCAACTGGAATGAACGCTGCCCTTGATGTACCAAGGCATCCGTGAAAAATGGTTTTCCACTTTACCAAAGATTTACAATGCACATTTCCTTTCTATACGGGGCTCTAGTGATTGAATGTTAATTTACAGATCATTAATTACCAGATAGAAAGTCAAGACACATGGCAGTAAAGCTAGGAATATTTTAGGAAGCACTATAAAATAAAAAGCAATAGGAAATGAATATAAAGAATCTACAGAAAGAAAATAATGTTATTAGTAAGACAGTTTTAAAACCAAATTTTAGACTTATCAAATATCCAAGAAGGAAGATATTTTGAAATTTTAAAAGCACATTTATTTTTGAGGATAGCCACATGACAGGCCAGGCTGAACCCATCCTTGAACTGTGTAAATAAGCTGCAGCTTCAAGTGTCTCCAAGGAACTGGAACTTGCAAGAGTCATAAAATCACAGATGTCAAATAAGGTAACAGAAGGCCCTGGCATCTCATGATCTAGATGTGAGGACTGCAAAGTTTTTCTATCATTTCCTTCATCCAATTCAAATACTGCTGAGCACACCACTCTAAGAAAATTAAGATGCTGCAAATAGGCAGGCAATCCAGGTCTTCCTCTCTTTCCTTGGACTTGGGAGCTTAAGGCAAGGCAGAAAATTCATGATTCTGAAGCTTGATAACTTTTTTCTAAAAGCTGAACTTGTAGGAAGGCCATCTGCAGAATGAAGGAGTATTTCTGAGCATGACAAGGGCCTTGTGGGGCAGAGTCCCTTCATGCGGGGGACAGAGGGCTTTGTACTGCTCTGTCATGCCCTTTCAGCACTACTGTTTAAGAGGCTAGAGTGCAATCACAGTTATTTAAAAGTACCCTTTTAATTCCTTCAGGGAAAAATTTCTAAGGTGACAAATAAATCTGGTATAACTAAATTATTTATTTAGGAAATGACAGAACCACTGGGAGAAGTAGCTACAAAAAGCTTCATGACATGAATTGTATCACCTGAGGTCAACCTCATCGAGGTGACCCTGCATGTTCGATTAAGTCTTGTCACAGTTATTTCTATATTATAATGAAGATAAAAATAGAACAAATAAGAAATTACTGAGACCCGGGGCGCCTGGGTGGCTTAGTTGTTAAGCATCTGCCTTCGGCTCGGGTCATGATCCCAGGGTCCTGGGATTGAGCACCCACATTGGGCTCCCTGCTCAGCAGGGAGCCTGCTTCTCCCTCTCCCACTCCCCCTGCTTGTGTTCCCTCTCTCGCTGTGTCTCTGTCGAATAAATAAATAAAATCTTAAAAAAAGAAATTACTGAGACCCAAAATTCATGATCTCACTCATGGCTCTTGTGAAAATTATTTTTTCTATAATCAACAGCCCTACTATAGTCACATATTTATTGGCTGGATATTCACCTAGCAATATGGTATTGAGTATACAACCTTGTTGATTTTTCTTCTGTGAGTTCTATTTAAGGGTATGAAATGTTTTACATAGGTATAGTGCATGGTAATTTGATATCTCTTAATAGAGTATAATGCCTTTCTTAATAGAGAATAATGAAACATGCATCGAAGAAGTTTGAGCTATGTGTTACAAATGCCTAAGTAAAATAAAACTACAGAATGTGTAGTGTATGTAAATTAAAAGGTTAAGATCTTTATCACCAATAATATCTCTAGAATCCTAAGATGTAACAGTGTCTTCACCAGGGTCTATGAATAAACTTTGGCTCTGGGAACACTATGAGACAGCATGAAAACTGGACTACACAGGCATTTTTCTTGCAGAGAAGGCTCAGAGCTTTTAATGGATTCTGAAAGGGGTCTCTGATCAAACACAGATTATGAACCACCATCGGAGGATAACTGGGAAATAAAAATTCTATCATGTATTAGCAAAGATAAATGAAAATAAGCTCGCTTTTAACTTTCTTCCTTCAACTCGGGGGGAAAAAATCACTTATTTCCCTTAAAGAATTAAGATATTTGTACCACAAAACATCTTTGGACATCCTATGGCATACAGCCGAAGTATTTCAAAAGCAATATGCTGGACAAATTGAATACTCCAGAAGATTCAACTTTTTTTTTGCCCTGAGAAACATGGCTCACTTTCAAATTTACTAATGACAGTTGTTTTATTGCTTGACTTAAAAACTGTGACTATTTCTCCTTTATTTGGACCTAGAGACACTCAAAAATAGGAGTATTATGTGAAGCGGTATTACTGGGAATACTGAGAAGTATCCAGCAGAACAATATGTATGTGATTACTTTTAATAAACATTACTTTATATACATGCTTATGAAGAGACAAAAATTAACCAGCAATAGGGGCCTGGAAAGGCTAGTAGTTAATGGAAATTTATTGCTAATTTGATCATTTAATTTTTTTGAAGGATTATTCTGCCTCTCGATTTTACCTCAGGCTGTCTCTTGGAAACATGAGACAAAACAAACACACCTTCATTACTTGAAATTCATGAACTCAACATTGTAAATCAAAATAAAACTGTTTAGGACATATCTCTTATGTTTATAATAATCTTTATACTATTAATATGAAATGGACCTAGGAAATCGATCTAGATGTCAGCATCAAAAATCTCAAGGGTTTATCTCAACCTAATACCTACAGGAAGTCAAAAGCAGAAGTGTTTTTATATAAATAAATGTCACTTTA